TCATTTGTGTATGCGAACGAGTGGAGACGGTTCTTTGGTAGCGGCATTGAAGGTATAAGGTTTGAGGTTAAGTTGGAGCTAGTTTCAAGTTAACGGTTCGAGGTTATGTCAAAACTAGAACAGTTTTGCGGTTAGGTGGGTATTAGATTAAACTTAGGTAGTGGGTAAGAATAGTGTTTGGTGTGAGGTTATGGCAAGCCAGGTTTAGGTTAGAACAATTGAATGTTAGGTGAAGAGTAACTGAAGGAAACACTTTGTGGTTGCATTAATGCTTTTTAGATACTTCGAATTTAGGTTAGAATAGATAAAATGAACCCAGAACATTTGAAAGATAACAAGAAGAATAGTTGACTTAATAATAGCTGTGAAATAACCTCTGTCCCCGTATAAATCAACAGACCAATTTGCATAGAAGGAGAAAAGAATTTTCAGTTGTTTCGTGTCCCATAATAGTTGATTACGAGACACCCAGTACGTACAATCGTTTCATTTCAGCGTTCCCTTTATCAGCGTGTCTTGTTCCCAGCATCTAAAGCTTGTTTCCCTCGTATCCTCTGTTTCCTTTTTCACGGTTGTCCTCTTTAAATCTTCCCGGGAATGGGTTGAATCCCGGATTCGGGTCTTGATATATTCTCTTGCCGTGGACCGTTCCGGGATGGGGGCGGAAACCGAAAATACGGTTTCGCGTGGATTTTCCCGGTGAAAGCGTGGAGAACCGCACGAAGCGAAGAACAGAATAAGAAGAAACGCGATTTCTTAGACAGAGGACAGCGAGGGGCTCTCTCTACCTTCGAAGCTTTCGAAAGTCGAGCTTTGTTACACCCGGGGACGCCGGTCGCCTCTTATGAGATGGCCTAAGAGTCTAGGGTTATAATATTCCCATAAAGAAACTATATTTTCCCGGAGTCACTTTGGACGCCATCAAAGAGGTACCTATGTAGAGGTATAAAGTATCTCTCGTACCTCGGATAAATCGAACAGTTCCATCGAAAAAGGAAATGCACGTGTAACCACTTTATGGTGATATTTGCTGATACAAAAGGCAGTAGTTCCCTTTTGACAGTATTAACTGTTGTTCAGCTTGAAAGAACATTTTTTTAAGAGAACTGTTGGGGAGAGTAGTGATATGAAATTTGGAGAAATTAGTGTACCTCGTTTTGAAGTTGTCAAATCGTTGGGAATTTCATTTGTGTATTAAGATTGATCGATTATAATAAATGCAATAAATTTGATATTTGAACGAGAATTATTTAAATTTGGTTGTTGAATCATATAAGATATCAAACAATGTCAAACCTTTAGGAATTTCATTTGTTTGTTAAGATTATTCAATTTTATTAGATGTAACAAATTTTATATTCAAGCAAGAATTATTTAAATTTGATTATTGAATCATACGGAAGCATCAAACATTGTCAAACTTCTATAAGCCAATCAATAGTACAAGAATGATTAAAATCCATTAAATTCCGTACATTCTTCGAATTTCTGGGAGGTATCAAAATTGTGGCTACCAGAAATATTTATTCACCGGTCTCGAATCTTCCGAAAACATCGAAGAAGATAAAACCCGCAGGATCCCATCACACTAGCAAACAGTCTCCAACTCCGTTAAACGTCCCCGATTTTCAATTACTTCCTACAACAGCCGTTGAGTATTTAATCAGCGGCGAGAAGTCACCTGAGAAACACAATCGATTCAGCGGACTGTACAAGCGAAAAACGCCGACCGTGGTAGACAGTGGAAATAAAACTATCCACCCGCGCCCCTTGAAGTCTGTTTCCCTAGCCCGCGTTTACCGTGGTCCAACATTTCCATTGATTTTACAGGTCTCCGATTCTTTTGTCCCCGGGGTCCTCCACGGTTGTCTTTGAGGAACCTCGATTCCCCGAGGTGCCCCGGGGCCGGGATTTTGCCGTTCGCGAAATTTCCTCCACTAGCGTGAATAAACGTAACGTACGGAAATGGAAAGAATATTTACCGGAACGATTCTGTTCTACAATGGCGACTGAGGAACTTTCTACTAGCTTTTTTTCTATATCTGAGCTACGTTTTACTATCATCTATACCTACTCTTTTCTCTCGTAATTTATTTCTTCTTCTCTTTTCCTTCTGCATTCTCATCTGTTCCTTCTTTCCCTTCCCTCGTTTTGTCTCTTTGAATATAACCTTCTGTTTTCTCTGTTTTCTTCCCCCTCCTGATATTATTACTTCTCTTTTTTCTCTTCTCTCTTCTCATTTATTCTGTTTTTGCCTCCTTATGGATGCCCTTTCCATTTTTCAGCCTTACCATTTATCTCTACTTTTATTTTTCTCCTCTCTCTTGATCTATCACTCCTTTTCTTTCTTTTTCTTTTCTTGTCTACTCTCATATATTCCTTTTTTCTTTTCTCTTTCTTTTCTTCCCTCTTCTCTGTTCTACTTGATCTCTTTCTTTTCTTCTTAGATTTCATCTATCCCTTCTTTTTAGTTTCTTCCTCCTCATCTATCTCTTTTTGTTTTCTTGCATCTTTCCTGTCCTAATCTGTTACTTCTCTTTCTTCTTATTTATATTTTCATCTATCTCTTTTTACTTTCTTCTCTCTTCTCATATAACTCTATTTTTTCCTGTCTTCTGTTTTCTAATCTA